CATTAGGAGGAATTTCTTCAAGGGGCCATCCAGGGAGGTGGTGGAGTCCCCATCCCTGGAGGTGTCCAAGGAACAACTGGACGTGGCACTGAGTGCTCTGGGCTGGGTGACAAGGCGGGGATCGGTCACAGGTTGGACTCAACGGCCTTGGAGGTCTTTTCCAACCTCAGCGATTCTGTGATTCTGGACCCAAAGAACAAACCAGATTGTGTCCAACGTTATAAATAAATCCAGAGAGCTGCACAGCAAGGCACAGCCTCCAGCTGCCAGGTGATCCGTCCCTCCTGCCTGCTGCACCTCCACCCCTCAGGAGGCAACTCTGTCATCACACGCCGTGACTCCACCACAGACAGGCTTCAACCACACATGCCCAGAGGGAAATCAGAGTTTAATTTAGACCAGCAGAACCAACAAGCTGGAACATGTGCATTTCAATGAAGTGTCTTCAGCCCAACCTTTGTACATTGCCCTGCAGATGCCACAGAGTGTTTGCTGTTACTTGAAACTGCGATAAAAACCCTTTGAAATTTTGCTGTCGTTTCTTTCCACTCTATTTCCAGCTCCCAGCACTCAGGATACCACTCTCAACCTTCTCAAAACCAGAAGTCAACAGCACTAAAAATATTAGGAAAATATTCTTTAGGAATATTAAGAAAATATTAGGAAAAATTCTTCCCTATGAGGGTAGTGAGACTCTGGCAAAGGTTGCCCAGAGAAGCTGTGACTGCCCCATCCCTGGAAGTGTCCAAGGCCAGGTTGGACGAGGCTTGGAGCATCCTGGGATAGTGGAAGGTGTCCCTGCCTGCGGCAGGGGGTGGGACAAGATGAGCTTTGAGGTCCCTCCCAACCCAAACCAGTCTGGGATTCTGTGATCAAGTCTAGAAGAAATTTTTGTTCCCACATCCAAAGGAACTGGGGATTTAGTAGAGGCTGCATTTATTCCAAATCCCTGGTGCGTGGTCCCCTCTGGGCAGCGGCTGCTGCATCACCATCCCCTTCTCCTTCGAGTTCTGGGTTATCCCTGCAAACTCCACACCTAAACTACCGATGTGCCCCGATCCTGTCCACCCCCCAAGCCGTGCAGTGGCTGCGGGGGGGGCTGCACCTCCCCGTGACGTGCCCCGACAGATTTCCTGAGAAACCTGGCATTGCCTCAGAGGAGCAGCAGCACCACCCAGCCCCCTGCCGGGCTCGGCCGCGGTGACCCACCCTCACCCCGAGCCCTGGGGGCTTGTGGCCCGTCCTGGGGCAGCGCGGGGACCCCACGGCCGGGGCCGGGCCGCTGCCCCGGGGACACCGGGACCCCCCGGGCGGGGCCCCCAGCCCTTGCACCCCCAGCCCGGGGCCTCGGCCCCCTTCCGTCACTCACCCCCCCAGCCCGCCCCCTTCCCTCTCGGCCCCCCGCTGCCCTCAGTCCCCCGAGGGGCCGGGCCCGCCCTCCCGCTCCGCGCCGGGCCTCACCTCCTCCAGGAACCGGGTGACATCGTAGACGCGCCCGTGGATCACCAGCCAGGTCTCGCGGTTGGAGTTCCGCTTCGCCACCTCCTCCAGGGTGAACACGGGCCCGGGCCCGTCCCCTCCCGCCGCCGCGGCCTCCCCGCGCCGCCCGCCCTCCATGCTGCCCGCCGGCCCTGCGCGGAACGCGCGGCCTGGCCCGCGCCGGCCGCCGTAGCGATGGCGACCGCCCGAGCGTCTCCTGTCGCGCCCGGTGGCCAATGGGGAGCTAGCGCTGCGGGTGCCCCGCCAGCGCAGCCAATGGGAGCGCGCGGCGGCGGGTGCGGGCCAATGGGGAGCGGCGGCGGCGAAGGGCGGGAAGCGCGGCGCGAGCTGTGCCTCAGGCGGTGGGGGCGGCTCCGGGCGGGGCGGGCACGGCGGGCGGGGCGCTCCGGACGGGACACTCGGCACCGGCTCCCCGGCCCCCCCGTACCGGCTCCGAGCCGCCCCCGTGCCGCCGGAGAGCGCGGTGCTGTCAGCAGCCCACCCGCAGCGGTGCCCGCGGTCCGCCCCAGCCTCTGGTAATTCCCCCCAGTCCGACCTGGGGCGTGTGGAGGGAGCTTGGGATCTCTCTGGGAAGCCTCTGATCCTGCCGGGGGCTGCCCGAGCCGCAGCTCCCTGCCACAGCCGATCCTCGGGATGTCTCCGGGGCGGGGGGGCCGGTGCGGCTTTGCCCAAGGATCAATCAGTTCAAGCCACCTGCAGCAGGTGGCGGGACACGGACCTGCAAGCAGCCGCTGTTTGATCGGTGTATGTGATGTGTGCTGGCAGGAATTACCTGCCAGGGTCCCCTGGCAGAACTATAGCTCTCCTCTCATAGGGTTCGGATTTCCGTGGGAACAGCTTTTCCACTGCTCCTTTTGTTTTGGTTCTTCCTGTGTGTATAAAACAGATGTCACCTCACGGGTCTTTACACTGAGCCAGTGGAGGAGCAGCTCCTGATTTTTACCAGTTTCTAAAGCAAAGTTCACATGCAGGTCTGATGTGAGGTGCTGAACAATTCTCCTCCCTCCAGCCACTTTGAACAGGCTCAGGGACCCGAGTAACTTGTGAGCCTGGTGGTTTTTCTTTATGAACTGGCATTTGTGGAATTTATTTCCTTGCCCTTGCAGGCTGGGCAGTGGGTGTTTGTTTAACAACTGCTGAGGAGATAGAAATGCTGAGTTGTCAGTGCTAAACTGTGACCAGCACTGGCTAAAGGTTAAAGGTGTGTGCAGGGACAGTCTGATGGGCTCCCTGCTGGGCAGGCTGCTAAAATCTCTCTGGATTTTAAAGGGAGCTGTACCTGCTGCCACTGAGCTGGGATTTCTGTGGGAATAAGACATCCCTAATGCTGCAGTTCAGATGCTATGGCAGCTCCAGGATGTTCCCCTGTCTGTGCTGTGTGTTCACATCCTGTATAAAGACAGGGCGGCTGCCTGCAAGTCCAGACTGTGCGTCACAAGCCTGTCAGGTCACTCTAGTTGGAGAGAAAGGTATTTTATATTTTTGGAGGGAAAGAAATGGCCCCAGTGGTGCCCCAGCTTCTCTGGGCAACCCGTGCCAGGGCCTGAGCCCCCTGGGTACAGTGGCTGGTTTGCTCCTGCATCCTGGCTCTCCAGGCACAGCAGTGACACAGCTAACGATGGTGGTACCCAGGGAGCTCTCTACGGATTCACTGGCACCAGAACTCGGGCCCTGCTGCCCCTCCCCAGGCCCAGGCACAGGTCTGAGATGTGCCGTGTCTGTGGAGAGCAGGGGCTGCTGTCCTGCCTGGAGCTCCAGCACAGCGAGAGCAGAGCGTGGTAAGCAGGGCCCCATGATTTTCCTGTCCTGTTTCCCGCTGTAACTCATCCAGAAGGATGTGACAGGCACGAGACTGCGGCAACGTGCAGATCCTGTTCCCTGGAAAGTTTTCTTCCATCTGTAATCACTTAATCAAAAGCCATAAATCAGTGAGGGAAGGCTCAAATGCACAAGCATGGCTGCAATTTGTGCCTTCCTGCCCAGTGTTTTGTTTGGCATGTGGAACTCCAAAACTTTTCCTGAAAAAGCGATGATGACACTGGGGGAGGAATTGGTGAAACTGGACAGTGAGGCCACTTGCATTCCAGGTCCGCTTCCATCATCCCTGCTTCCTTTTCTTTCACTGTAGAAGATTCAGGGAGCAAATCAGTGGGTTTATTTCTGTATTTACTCTGGAATTCACCATTCTGGGCTGGTTTTCCACTCCTGGGTGCTGTTAACACACCACTGGCCCAGGCAGGCCGCTGTGACCTCCTCCTGCATCTTGCAACAGAGAAAGAGCAAACCCACTTTGCCCATGACGATTCCGCGTGGAAAAGCATTCGACCCCAAGCAGGGTGCTGTCACCTCCCCTCAGCGCAGGAAGGTGCCGTGGGTGTCGCTCCCACGTCCTTCCCAACACCCTCCACCACATTCCGAGCGCAGCTGGGCTGTGTCCTGCTCCCACCTCGCTCCCCAGGGCAGCTCCCCCGCCCCAGGTGACCCTTCTGCCTCCCAGTAATTATTTTTATCTCCTTTTGTTTGCCAATAAAAATCCCTCCCAGTTTTACAGTTTTCCATCTGACACATGGATTTTTGCCGGTGTCCGTTTCCTCCTCCCCTGGCCAGGGCGGAGGGAAGGGAGGATCCCAGATCACCTCATGCCAGAGGAATTTTCACGTGCTTTTCCACCTCAGGTGAGAGCCCTCAGGACAGTGTCAGGGATGTTTCTGGGGCCAAGGAGACACCCCAGAGCGGCAGAGAACTACCCTGTGATCCCAAGGACCTGCTTGCCAGCACCTTCACCTGCAGGCACCAGTTCTGCTTGGGAATCACTCAGTGGGATCACTGGGAAAACAGGACTTCTGATTTGTTACCCAAACTCTGAGAGACTGCGGGATGGTCTCTGCCCCAAAATCCTGCCCAGGGACCTAGTGCCAGGTGAAGGAGGGGGATTGCAGGTGGCCACAGCACAGGGAATGGGAATGTGTGTGAGCATCCCTGCTGTGTGAAAGACCAGAATAAAGGGAAAACCCCAAATAAAAGTACAAAATAACAGTTCCTGTGTAACACTAGGAGGGTTCTGCCAGTGTTTCCCAACGAAGGTCTGGCTCAAGCTGTAACATCCCGGGTCGGGTGTGGTGCTCCCCGTCCCCTGCCCTGAGGTGCAGCCAGTGCAGTGTGTGTCCCCGTTCCTGCCGGGAATGCCGAGCAGCAGCTCTGTGGGGATGGCCCACCCTTCGGAACACACCGTGTCTGTGCCGGCAGGGCGGCACTGGCTGCTCTGGTGACACGGATGTAACACGTCTGGGCCTGGCCGGGTGAGGCTCCCTCGGGGGTCTCAGCACGTACAGGTGGGCTCTGCCCTGCTGTGGATCCCGCTGGGTGGGCAGGGGGACATCCCTGACCCAGGGACCCGGCCGGGCCCTCCCCGCAGTCCCCCTCCCGCCCGCCAGGGGGCGCCCTGCCGTGGCTGCCGGCGGTGTCGTCACGTGGGGTGCGTCACTTCCTGGCGGGATGGCGGCGCGGCGGGGCCGGGCGGTGCGGCGGGAGCAGGTCCCGGGCCCGCCCGGGATGGCGGCCCTGCGCGAGGAGACCGTGAACGGATGGGTGCTGCAGTTCTACTTCCACCGCGCCATGCAGGCCTACCGCTCCGGGCGCCACCGCGAGTTCCGCCAGCTGCGCGATATCATGCAGGGTGCGGCGGGTGGGGCCTGGCCGGGCGGGGAGCGCGGGGCGGCCGGGCCGCGCTGCACCGCCCTCACCCGCCCCTCGTCCTGCAGCGCTGCTCGTGCGACCCCTGGACAAGGAGCCGGCGGTGGCCCAGATGCTGCGGATAATGCAGCTGCTGTCGCGGGTCGAGGAGGGCGAGAACCTCGGTAGGTGCCTTCCCCGCGAGCCCCGCTGCGTGTCCCGGGCTGTACCCGTGCCCCTGCGGCTCCCGGAGCAGGGTCCTTGCTCAGGGCAGAGCTCTGGGCTGTGTTTGTGCCCCTGCGCTGGCCTGAGCCTGTGGGGCTGTGGGGGTTCTCCCTGGGGCCAGGGGTGGCTGTTCGTGCCTGTGTCTCGCTGCTGGGGCCAAGAGGAGCATCCGTGGCGCTCCAGGTCTGGCCTGGTGTCCACGCACACCGGCCTGTTGACTCCTGCTCAGCTTTGGAGCTTCCAAAGCGCTCCCATGGGTCAGTGCTGGGCACCGGGGAAGTTCTCAGGTGCTGCTTCCGGAGCTTTCCATGGCTTGGGGAATTTCCCCTTTGGGGAAGGGGAAAATCACCATTCAGAGACTGGGCAGTGCCTCGTCTTCAGCCTCAGTAGCCCTGGGATTTATGAGCAGCCTGTGCAGGTGTACAACCAGCTCTGTGCAGGGAAGCACCGTGAGCCCTCCCCAACCCCCTGGATGACAATTCTTGTAGATTGTACCTTCGACAAGGAGTCGGAGCTGACCCCACTTGAGTCGGCCCTCACTGTCCTGGAGCTCGTCCACAAGGAATTCTCCATGCCGGAGAAGACGATGGAGACCGTGCAGAAAATGGTGAAGGAAGCTGTAAGAACTTCTTCTTCCTCGAGAAATGCTTTATGCATTTTTTGGCTTGGAAAGGTCCTGTGTGGTGGTGGTGGTGGGAGCTGCCTTATGTGCAAGATTCCCTCATTAGCTGCAAACTTGTGTCCACAGTGATGTGCAAGTTGGCTCTGAGCTGTTTCCTGTGCCCTGCTCCAAACTGTCCTTGTTTTCCTCTGCAGGCTGTTATTGTCTGCATCAAAAACAAAGAATTTGATAAAGCTTCCAAAATTGTCAAGAGGCACATGGGGAAGGATTCCAAGAACCAGGTGAGTGTGTGTTGGAATAAAGTGGGGGCTGCCTGATGTATCCTGGGGAGTGTTTGAGGGGGGTCTGATGTGCCCAGGGGTGAGGATGCCAAAATAGAAACAGTCCTCCTGGAGTGATGGACCCTCAGTGTTGCACATTTAGATTATCACCTTCGAACCTCCTCTCCCACTCATTTTTCCTCCATGGGTCTTCCCAACATCCTATTTATTCCTTGATGAGCCTCAAACTCGCATCTAGAGCTGCTTCTGGGGGCAGCAGGAGTTCTCATTCCTGTTTCTGCAGCCACTAGGGTGCTTGGGCACTGGAGGCAAGGAGAATTCCTGAAATAGGGTGGCTCTACTGTTTCTTTTTCTGTTCCTCTGGCCTTTTCCCACCCTCATTGCGGTGTAAATTGGTTGTGCCTGGAGAAAGGCAAACAGGAAAGGCCCAGATCCTTGCTGTGGTTGTCGCTGTTTTCCTTGTCCCTGCACAGTGTTCTTACCTGGTTCTACAATTCCCTTCCCTAGAAAAAGAGGAACGAGTGGCTGGCTGTCATCCGGGAGAAGAATTTCTCTCATCCAAAGGTCAAAAACTTCTCCTACAAGGACTTCCAGCAGAGCATATTTGAGCTCCTGAAGGTCTATGTGGACGACTCGGAGCCGCTGCTGCTGACGGTTCGTGTCCACCCCAGTCCCCTGGAGCTGAGGTGCCCAATTAGCAGAGAGTTAAATCCAGAACGCTTTAAATTCGGTCCATCCCTAAAAGGTTTATATGGTTGAACGTGTTTTTCAATCCGTGAAATGCCTTTGGGAGGGGATAAAATGGGATTAGAGCACGAGGAATCACCTCTGTAATGGTGCTGTGCTTTCTCTCTCTAAGGTAATGAAAAAAACTTTGAATGTGGAACACACCGATGAACCAGAATCCTTATCGGTGACTCCCAAGTCTGCAGATGGGCCAAAGGACCAGACAGCGGCTCCAGAGGACTCGGGAAGGGCAGAGGGTCCTGCAGGAGCCCCAGAGCCTGCAGGAGCAGCAGAAGAGCCAGAGGGAGCTGCCAGCCCTGTAGAAAGGGCAGCGCATCCCACAGTGGCTCCAGAGGCCATGGAAGGAGCCAGTGGCCCTGCAGCGGCTCCAGAATCTATGGAAGTAGCCACTGACCCAGCAGCAACTCCTGATCATTTAACAGCAGAGCCTGATGTCCTGAAAGATATTCCAGAGCCTGTGGAAATAGCTAAAGAACCAGCTACCAAAGTAGCTGCAGAACTTCCAGAAGTGTCCACCAGGGACTCAGAAAGGTGGGCAGAGGAGTCTGGCCCTGGACTGTGGATGAGGTGTGGCCACAGTTCTCTTCCATGGGGTAAATCCCCTGTGTCCAGGCAGCTCCTAACTCCCTAAATGCCAGCCCAGGCCAGCCCAAAGGTGTTGGTGCAGGACTGCGGATTCCAGGAAAGGTGTTGAGCTGGTTTGGTTTGGTTGCTGTTGTGACCAGGGAAGGGGGCAGTGGCTGCAGAAGGTTTGCTCATGTGGAGCAGAGCTGGAATCCCTGTGGTTCAGCCCTTAGCTGGGAATAGTAGGGCAGCAGTGGAGCATGGACACATGTTCTCCAAACCTGCTTCCTGGGACACTGCACTGTTTAAGAGGGCGAACAGGTGGGTTGGGAATTCCCTCTTCCTCGGAGTCCATAAGGCAGATGTTGGGGGTCCTAGCGGAGGGAGAGGCCGGATTTCGGGGCAGCAGAGCTCCCGTGGTGGTTTCTCTACAACCTGCTCGGTTGTGTTTATTTTGTAGGCAGCCCCCCGGAGCTGTAACCTCGTGTGGGATTTCTGTTCTGAGAGAAGCTTTCAAGATCCTGTCGGACTCCCAGGACTCTGATGCACTCTTCACCAAACTGGATGAAACAGACTTTACCTTCCCCAAGCAACTGTCTCCTTCTGTATCCCACAGAACCAAGAGACGGAAAGAAGTGGAGAATCAAGATTCTGAGATCTCAGACCCTCCTGAAATACCCCATAAGGGCAAACGCTTGTTCACCATAAGCGAACTGGTAATGGAGGCAGACAACCAGTCCAGCAAGTCGAGTGAGAGCCCTGACTCTTCCCAGGAGCCCGTGGTCTCTTCCGCTTCCAGACCCAGACCTGTTCAGAAATTGCATGACCAGCCAGTGACTACTGAGAGTGCCAAGTATGGAGCCTCTGCTTTGTGGTACAGTCTGCTCTGCCCCCAGTCTTGCCTTGCACTGATGTCAGTAGTGTGAGCACCAACTTCTTGCTCTTTAACCCAAAGTGAGAGTATTGACCTTGTCCACCAGCACACGTGGAACTGGGCACAACAAACTCTTTTCCTCACATTTGGCTTTAAAATTAATTATGGGTTAATGGAGAGGAGAAAACGATCTGGCTCCCGCTGGCAGTGAGGTGCTGTGGGTAGTCCTGGCAGGTGATTCCAGTGCAGGTAACACGCGTTTCTCTGCACTTTTCCTAGCTTCAGCGTAATTGGCCAGAGTTTGTAGGAGCATCCTGTGGAACAGCTTGAACTTTGCTTCCCACCTCTTGAGAAGCACAATGTCCACAGGCTGGCTTTCTGTGCTGGGTGGTCCTGCACCTCTTCCCCAAAAACCTTCTCCTGAGCCAGAAGCCAAAGTAAATCCTCATCTGCTTTCAGGTCCTTCCAGAGAAGGTGGAACAGCTCACGTGGCAGGGAAGAAAAGGACAGTTGGAGTGAGGAGGATGACCTCTTCTCAGATGGAGGTAAGAACAGAGTCCCCTGGCAGGGGTTACCTGGTGCTAATCCTGGCTTGAGGGGTCACTCACAGGGGTCTTGCTACCAAGGGTGAATGAATTTTGAAACCAGAAATCCAGCAGAAAGGCTGGGAGAAAGGAATTGGGGTTTGTTGCCTGTCATGGGGTGCTCTGACTACACAGCTCAGTAGTTAAGCCTGAGGCAGTCTTTTGAAGACATCTGTACCTCCCAAGTTTTGGGGTATGTAACCCTCTTCCTTGTTTTCCAGCATCAATTGGGACAAACAACTCCACAATCTTTAGCTCCAAGAAACAGGTATGTAAAGCCTTAGGTGCTTCCAGTAGGGTCTGAAATGGGGCGGTGTCTGTACAATCTCTGTGGTAAAACAGCCCTGTTTGGAAGTTGGCTGAAGCTGGGCATTAGGAATGTGCCTCAGGTACCTTTGCCTTGACAGCTCAGAGCCAGGTTTGCCAAATTCCCCATGTGCTGGAGGGGTTTAAAGCCTGGTTCAGGTGAGGGACATGTCTGGCAGCTGTTACCTGGGAAAAGGTCCCAACGCTGGTGCCAACAGGAACTCTTCCCCTAAGCTGTAGGAAGGCAGCTGCTGGCTCTTGTGCTGCTGCACTATATCTGTAGTGCTGGAGTGTTGTGTGTGCAGCTGCCAGCACCTGTCTGCCTTCCCTGCCTGTCCTGGCACAGGGAAGGAACATGCCAGGAAGGAGCTGCAACAGGTTCTCTGCTGTTCAGCTCTTCCCTGAACCTGCTCACCTGCTCTGTGTAGAAATGGACGATCCAGGAGAGCGAGTGGATCAAGCAGGGTGTGAAGAAGTTTGGAGAGGGAAGATGGAAGGCCATTTGCCAGACGTACCCGTTCCAGAACCGCACAGCAGTGATGATCAAGGACCGCTGGCGGACCATGAAGAAACAGGGAATCCTCTGAAGCTGGGAGCCCTGGGACATTCCGTGCAAAAAACTTTTGTTTTTTGGAAGCTGAACCAGAGTGCCGGCACAGGGAGGCTATCCCAGTGTGGGGAACTCCTCTGACACCCCAAAACCACAACTGCCAGGAACCCAGGAGCCTCGTTCTCCAGCTGGAGCTGCAAAATACTGCAGGTGGCAGAGGCTGTGCAACCTCTCTGCGTGTGCTCAGAACTGCCTGGATGGAGATTTTCTTGTTCCCGTGACCACTGCAGCCTCTGTGGGATGAATCCCAGCTGGATTGCTCTGCACAGGTACTGTCAATCAGGATGGTCCCTGTCTGATACCTGAATCACTTGTTTCACCCATTTGCCATCACTCCCCCGTGGGAGAGAGGCAGCACTGAGTTGCAGAGCTCCTCAGGCGAACAGGCAAGCAGATCTACTCTAGATTTTTTTTTTATCTCCCCATTATTTTTGCTTTGTAAATGACTAATTGTGAGTGCAAAATCCTCCCTCCCAGCCCTGAGACTTTAGAATATTATTTTGTGTTTCAGTACTTAGAAATGGTTGTTTTCATGTTTAAAGTTCCAGTTCTGGCTGACTTTGGCCATGTCTTCCTGTCACTTTCCCTGGTAACGTCCTTCTACCATATGCAATCCCTGTGAGCACATGAGCTATGAGGGCGCTGCGTGTTCCTGCCTTCAGCTGCCAAAGCTGGAATCCATGTCCAAACAGTTGTCTGTAAAATAAAGTCCCTTTCTTATTGGATACCAAGAGTTTTAAAAAATAAAGTCCCTTTCTTGTTGGGTATTGAGAGTTTGTAAAAGAGTAAATTTGTATCTTGTGGGTGGAAATGGTGCGGTGTGGGGCGAGGACTGCCCTGGGAATGTGGGGCTCCCCCTTCCCCTTTGGGGGTGTTGGGGCAGGAGCAGTGCTGTCCTATGGATGTAGGTGGGAAACAGGAGTTTCTGGCTTAGATTTCTGTGGAATAAGGGCAGGGGAGATAACAGGGGCATTTTCCAAACTTAGTTTTAGGATTCTCTGGCTGTTTTCCATCAGAGCCAGGGGCTGGGAGAACTCTGTCTGGGAACACCTGCTTCCCCCTCTGTCCTTCAGCCACAGGTGCTGCACAGTGTCCCTTGTCCCCTGGCTGTGGCCATGCATTTCCCTCTTTCTGCCTGTAAATCCTTTCCCTGGGGCTGGAGCAGCCCTTGGCAGCAGGAGCACTGGGGCAGAGAGGCTCAGTGTTGCCCTTGTGAGGCAATACCGGTTGATTGTGCCCTGTTGGAAGGCGCTGTGTCCCGTTACACCCTTCTCCAGGCAGCAGCACAGGGAGGGTGTCCCAGAGCTGCTCCACACCAGCATCACCTTGAGCCATGGAGCCTGTGCCGTGCTCCTCCCAGCACTGCGGAGCAGTTAATGATTACCCCCCACCAGCCACCCCGTCCTGCTCTGCCCTTCCCAGCAGGAGCGAGTGCTGGAGCCCAGGAGCAGGAGGATGCTGCTGCTGCTGCTCCTGGTGCTGCCGGGCCCCTGCAGCTGCCCCCGCACGGAGCCCCTGAGTGGGTCCAGCCCAGAGCCGCTGTTCCGCGGGGCCGATCGCTACGACTTCGCTGTCGTCGTCCCCGGCGGCGCCATGGAGTGTTTCTGGCAGTTCTCGCACCAGGGTGGCAACTTCTTCTTCAGCTACGAGGTGAGTGTTGGAGACGTGGCCCGGGAAGCTGCTGACATAGGCAGGGAATGGTTGTGCTGGATCAGTCCCGTGCAGCAGGTCCTGTGGCACAACACCCGTCAGGGCTATGCCTTTTCTAGGCAATATCATGGAATAGTTTGGATGGGAATGGACCTTAAAGCTCATCCCATTCCACCCCCTGCCATGGGCAAGGGACACCTTCCACTAGACCAGTTTGCTCCAAGCCCCATCCAACCCAACCTTGTACACTTCCAGGGATGGGACAGCCACAGCTTCTCTGGGCAACCTTTACTAGGGCCTCACCATCCTCACATGAAAGGATTTCTTCCCAATACCTAATCTAATCTCTATCCATCATCAATCCCATGTACTTTTTTGAATACCTGGTTTAAAATCACGAAGTGGTGCTGGGAGCTGTGGCCGCGGTGCCTGAGCACCTCGAGCTCACTCACTGAGAGCTGTGAGGTCTCCTGGCACTGTGGGGAGCTCTGCCCTTTGCTGTCTGGGCAGGCGCTGTGGCACCACTGAAGGTCTCAGCACAGTGTGTCCCCATGCTCCATTCCCTTCCGGCAGGGAAACTCCAGCCTTTTTATCTCCTGTTTACACGGGGCTGGCTGAAGGAGAGCCAGGGCATGGCTGTGCCTGGTGCTGGCAGCTTTCCCCCAGCTCTGCGCTTGGCAGAGCAGCCCCACAGGAACACGGCCTTGGGGCTCAGCACAGCTCCATCCCCACACCAGTGGCGAATGAATTCCCTTCAGGTGTTCTCTGCCTCCAGGTCCAGCGGGCAACAGGGATCGGCAACAGCAGGAACATCCTGGTCACAGCGAGTGATCCCAATGGCTTCCAGCTTGGTGTCTCCCAGGATGTGCGAGGACAGATCAACTTCCTCACCAAGGACACAGGTCACCCCTGCCCTGGCCCCTGCAGCAGCTCCGAGAGCCTTCTTGAGTGCTGATTGCTCCCAGATGGGATGGATGAGGGTCAACCACTGGGGATGTGTCTGCCTGCTGCCTTTCTACCCACAGACCAACAACCCTCATTTCCCTCTGCAGGTTTCTACGAGCTGTGCCTGGACAACCAGCAAAACCACTTTGGCTTCCTGCAGGTGTATCTTAACTTCGGTGTCTACTACGACGACTTCAACATGGAACACAAGCAGCCTGTGGAGAAGAAGGAGCTGAATGACACGCTGGAGGCAATCAAGGTGAGGGTCAGGGTGGCCACAGGGTGCCCTAGCACAGCGGGGATGGGCATGTCCTACTTAGGGGACTGAGAAGGGCATTTGCTCTGGCTGAGCTGCTGTTGAAGTCAGTGCTGAGCCCAGCAGGCAGCTCCGAGAGCAGCTCTGCCTCTCCTGCAGATCAGCATCCAGAGGCTGCAGATCCACACCTTCCACATGTGGCGCTTCTACAACTTTGCCCGGATGAGGAAAGGGGCTGACTCCTTTCTCCTGGAGTCCAACTACAACTATGTCAACTGGTGGTCGATGGCCCAGAGCTGTGTCATTGTCCTCTCCGGGGTGCTGCAGCTCTACTTCCTCAAGCGCCTTTTCCATGCACAAACCTCTGGCAGCCAGAAGTGCTAGATCAGGGCAGGGCTATTGCTGCCAGTGCCATGTGACCCTGCTGTGGAAGGGAAGGCCAGATCCTGCTTCCAGGAGGAGGCTGGAGAGTTCCCCTCCCTCCTGCCTCCAGCTCTAGCCCTGAAATCCCACCCAGAGAAGCCAAGCACCACACTGTCACCTGAGCTTTGTGTGGCAGAAGGGTTTGTCACATCCCTGCCCATCATTAGTGTCCCAATGGGCTTTTTCTACCAGACTCCCAATAAAGGAACGCCTGGCACACTCTGGGGAGTGATCACTGTCTGTTGCTGCTGTCCAGCTTCTGTGAGCCCAGGAGCAATCGCCCGCCCATCTCCCCCTCCCTGAACCTCAGCCCTGGGCTGTAAGCTTCCTTCTGAGATTCCCTCTGGCCTCATCCATCCCCCAAACACATTGCTTCCCCTCTCTGGAGTTGCACCCCAGTGCACTATGCTGCCCCAGGGGGGGAACTGCAGGTTGAACCCTCTGAGGCTCCGCACCAGACAACAAGCACTGGGAAAAGGAACAGGCTTTATGTGACAAGGCTGGTGCAGGGGCACCTTCCCCCATGCTGGCAGCAGCTCCCCCAGGGCTGTGGGGCTGCATACTGGCAGCCCCTCTCCCTCCCACTTGGGATGGGCTCCCTGTGGCTCCCCAGACCCATGGTCCAGGGCAAGGTCCATTCTGCTCAGGGTCTCTTCAGGTCCGTGGAATCCCTTAGGTCAGTGTGTCCTCGTTCCGCACATACTCTCCGACGTCGGCTTGGTGGAACACCACAATGGCCAAGGGATCCACCTTCCGGCACTCCTGTGTGGACTTGGCAGCCACCCCAAAACCCTGGAGGGATGAAGAGAGGTGAGAAGTAGTTCTCCCACCCTGTACCCCCGCCCAGCCATGGCAGGCACCGGGCTCTCACCAGCGGGACGTCAGCCATGGAATACACCACCACACCCTGGTACTGCGCCGTGTTCTCCGTGATGCGGCCCAGCCCCGACTTCAGCACGTGGTTGCCATAGAGGAAGGACTGCTCTGAGCCAGGCTTCACCCACACCTTGTACTGCAAGAGAGGGCAGAGCGGTGAGGGGGCTGTGGCTGGGGGGCTGGCATGGGCTGGAGGTGGCTGGGGGGGCTGTGTCCCACCTTGGCGTAGGGCGCGAGGAAGTCCAGGGCCGTGACGCTGAGCCGGAACTTCTGGGACTTGGTGAACTTCCCGAAGCAGGTGCCCGGGGCTACCAGGCTGTCTCGGGGGACACTGGCCGCCAGCTTCAGCAACTTCTCACTGCGGGAGCAGGACAATGCGGGGGGACTGCGGGGCCGCCGCCCCGCGGGGGCTGCCCCAGAGCCCACCGCGCCCCCGGGGCTCACCTGAGGTAGTACACGCGGTCCCGGTGCAGGCGGAAGCAGTAGGTACCATCGGGCCGGTCCACCAGCAGCTGGATGTTCTCACCGATGCTGCGGGGACGGACCCCGTGAGCACGGCCTGGCCCCGGCCCCTCCTGCCACGGCCCCTCCGGTGCCCGTTCCCTCCCCGTGCCCCCGGCCCCGCCAGGTTCCAGCCCTCCCGATCCCCAGGCCGGTCCAGGTCCCGTCCCTCCCATCCCCTCCCCGGTCCCCTGTACCTATCCCACCCGGTCCCCATCCCCTTTCGTTGCCTGGTCTCGCCCGATCCCTGGTGCCCATCCCCTCCTCGGTTCCTACCGGTGTCCATCCCGCCCCCGAGCCCGATCCCGGGCCCAGCCCTCCCGGTCCCCGGGGTCCAGCCAATCAATCCCTCGCGGTCCCCCTGCCGCTCCCGGTCCCAGCGGCCCATCCCTCCCGCTCCCTCCCTGCTCCACCCGTCCCGGTGTCCCGGCCCCTCACTATTTCCCGAGCTTCTCGAACACCGCCCGCGTCTCCGCCTCCGTGAGCGGCCGCATCTCCCGCCGGGCGCACGCGGGGCGGCGGGGCCGGAAGGGCCGTGCCCGGAACCGGCGGTGACGCGGCGGGGCCGGCGGCGATGGCGGCGGCGGCGGAGGAGGCGCGGCTGCTGGCCTGGCTGCGGGGCCCGGCCGCGGGGCCCGGCGGCCCCGAGCTCGCCGCCTACGTGTCGGAGCTGGCGGCGCTGGGGCTGGCGGAGCTGGGCCGGGAGCCGGCGCGGCTCGCGGCGGAGCGGGCGCGGGTCGGGGCCGAGACGCGCCGCCTCGCCTTCGAGCACTACCGCGCCTTCATCCGCTCCGCAGAGTGCACCGGCCGCGCCGGCCGCGGCTTCGGCGGCATCGAGAGCCGCCTCGGCAGCCTGCTGGAGCGGCTGCCCGCGCTGCAGGACGCCTGCCGGTGCGGGACGGGCATCGCGGGGGGAACCGGGGGACCGGGGCGGGGAAAGCGAGGGTGGAAATGGGGACAGGAGGGACCAGGGATGGGATGAAGCTGGAGCGGGGTGTGCGGCAACAGGAGCTGCCCTGATCAGGGGAGGGTGGGCTGAGGGCTATGAGGGGTCCCACACTGGGCCCAGTAAGGACCGGGACTGGCTGGGCTGGCCTGGAGGCAGCGCTGGGGGGCCCCTGGGCAGCGCTGGGAGCGGCCAGTGTGGGTGGGAGGGTCCCGATGTCCACCTGCTGCAAGGAGGACCCTCCTGTTGATGCTGTCTCGACCCCCAGGACCTTCATGCGCGATGCTGAGGCGATCGCCTGCAGCCGGCGGATGAACAGCCTGACCCTGAACAGGCACACGGAGATCCTGGAAATCCTGGAGATCCCACAGCTCATGGACACCTGTGTCCGCAACAGCTACTACGAGGAGGCGCTGGAGCTTGCAGCCTATGTGCGCCGGCTGGAGAGGAAGCACAGCAGTATCCCCGTGATCCAGGTGAGCCCCACTCTGACCTACCCCATAATCCAGGTGAGCCCTATGCTGTCCCTGCCCCAAGGTCCACCCAAGTCCCACTCTGCCCCCTGAGTGGTCTCTCCCCGCACAGGGCATCGTGGAGGAGGTGCGCCAGTCTGCCCAGCTGATGCTGAACCAGCTGATCCAGCAGCTCCGCACCAACATCCCGCTGCCAGCCTGCCTGCGCATCATCGGCTTCCTGCGGCGCATGGACGTGCTCACCGAGGCTGAGCTGCGCATCAAGTTCTTGCAGGCGCGGGACGCGTGGCTGCGCTCCATCCAAGCCTCCATCCCCGACCACGACCCCTACGTGCACATCACCAAGACCATCGAGGCCTGCCGGGTGCACCTCTTCGACATCATCACCCAGTACCGTGCCATCTTCTCAGACGAGGAGCCGCTGGTGCCGGCCGAGGGCACAGTGCCTGCCGAGGGGGCCATCTTCCACGGCTGGGTGCTCCAGAAGGTCTCCGAGTTTCTGCGGACACTGGAGCATGACCTGGACCGTGGGGTGGGCAGCCGGCTGGACTCGCTGCTGGGGCAGTGCATGTACTTCGGGCTGTCCTTCAGCAGAGTGGGCGCAGATTTCCGTGGACAGCTGGCCCCCCTCTTCCAGCGTGTGGCTGCCAATACTTTCAGGAAGGCGGTGGAGGAGGCGGTGGAGAAATTCCGTGAGGAGATGAATTCCTACACGCTGATCTCAGCTCCAGCCGTGCTCGGGGGCAGTGCGGCAGTGCTGGTGCCCACAGCCCAGCCCGGGACGCTGCAGCCCCCCATGGTGCTGCTGGACTTCCCTCCCCTTGCCTGCTTCCTCAATGGCCTCCTCGTCGCCTTCAACGACCTGCGGCTCTGCTGCCCCATCGCCCTGGCACAGGATGTCACTGCCTGCCTGGACAGTGCCCTTGGGGAGGTGAGTCTGGGGAATGGTGCTGGGACTTGTGCTGGGAGAACACGGGACGGGTTTGTCCTGGCCTTAGTGGGTTGGAAAAGCCTCTGAGATCATTGAATCCAACAATTCCCCCAGCACTGCCAAGGCTACCACTAACCCATGTCCCCAGGCGCCACATCCACATGGCTTTTAAACCAACCCCCCAGAGCGACCACAGGGGATGGCACTGCTCTGGTCTTGCCTCACTATGGCTGGTACAGTCCAGGTGCCATTGTCCTTCTTGCCCACCTGGGTTCATGTTCAACCCCTGTCACTCCCAGGTGCCACACTTGCCTCTCTCCCCAGGTGACCAAAATCATCCTGGCCTTCCACCGTGCGGAGGAGGCGGCTTTCAGTGGGCGAGAGCAGGAGCTCTTTGCCCAGTTCTGCATGGCCTTCCTGGAGGACCTGCTGCCTTACCTGAACCGCTGCCTCCAGGTGCTTTTCCCTCCGGCACAGATCGCACAGGCACTGGGTGAGATCATGGGCTTTGGTTTTCATTACGGGGTGGCAACTCTGCTCCCACCCATGGTTTTGCCCTGCAACATTCAGTGGGCCCTGCCCTGCTGCTGTCCCTCTTTAGGGATCCTGTTCTCTGCCGCCCCCCTGACCCCTGCTCTCCCCTCTCCCAGGTGTCCCCCCCACCCAGCTGCAGCGTTTTGGCCGCCTGGGCCGCATCGACGTGGCCGCACTCAGGGAGCCACTGGCTTTCCTGCTTCCACCGGCACCGGACAAAGAGGAGCCCGCCCAGGAGACCACCCTGTGCCCGGAGGGGGAAATCGTGGCCGTGCCCACCGAGCTCCCAGAGAGTCCCCCCGAGGGGGCTGCCCTGCCGGATGACCCGGTGGTCTCGGGGTAGCTGAGGAGCGGTCGGGCCGTGTCTGCCTGTGGCAGTGACCTGTCCCCGCGCCCAGCCCGTCCCCTGCCCGCGGGATGTCCCCGCACCGGCACCCCCCCACACACCGGGCACAGCCCCCGTTTCCTGCGTGCACCGGGGCCGCCAGGGGGCGCTGTGCCGCCGCGGGTGCGCGCGCAGCCGGTGCTCGATGGCGGCGGTGCTGGGCCGGGCGGCGGGACGGGCCCGCCCGGCGCTCGGGGCTCCCCCGTGCCGCGGGTGCGGGGACGGGGCCGCGGCGGGCTGGGCCCGGCGGGAGCGCTCGTACTGGCGGGCGCTGCGGCGGCGGGTGCTGGGCCCGCCCGAGCCGCCCTTCGCCGCGCCGCTGCAGGTGGGAGCCCCGGTGCTGCGCGGCGCCGCCGCCGCCGTGTCCCCGGAGCAGCTGGGCGGCCCCGAGCTGCGGCGGCTGGCGGCGGCGCTGACGGCAGGGCTGCGGGGCCGGCCGTGCCTGGGGCTGAGCGCCCCGCAGCTCGGGGTGCCGCTGCGGGTGTTCGCCGCCGAGCTGCCGCCCGAGCGCTGCTCCCAGTACCCGGCGGCGCTGCGCCGCGCACACCGCATCGAGCCCTTCCCGCTCCGCCTGCTCGTCAACCCCGCGCTCCGCGTCCTCGACACCCGCCTCGTCACCGCCCCCGAGGGCTGCGCCAGCATCCACGGCTTCTCCGCCTACGTCCCGCGGCACTGGGCCGTCCACGTCTCCGGTATGGACCGACCCTTCCCACACCGGGGTACTGCCCTGCCCTGTCCCGTGTAGGACCCTGCATCTCCCACTCTCACCCACCACAGGCCCCCATCCTCTCACATGTCCCACCACACTCTCAGGGTCCCATGGATCTCCCACTCTACCCCACTCTCACATGGTCCCCCCATTGCCACACAATCTCCCCATTCTCTCATGGGTCCTTCCTATTTCACACAAGTGCCCTACTCTCACACGGATCCCCTTTTTAGCCTCCCAGTCATCCCCTCACCCCAGTCCTCCCAGCTCCCCAACAAGTTCCCCTGGCAGCAGGCGTGGACGAGGTCGGGGCGCCGGTAAGCTGGGAGGCGACGGGCTGGGCTGCCCGCATCATCCAGCACGAGATGGACCACCTGGATGGGATCCTCTACATCGACCGCATGGACCCCCGCACTTTCACCAACGTGGGCTGGATGGAGTTCATGGACTGACCCCACTGTGCCCATCCCTGGCTGCCCCCTGCGCGGCTGGGGCCCCCCCCACTGTGCGGTGCAGGGTGCCCACCCTAACCCTGGAGAAAGAACCAGCACGGAGCCACAGCCCAGGGGCTCCCACTGAGCTTTATTGCAGCCAATACAGACCTGTGGCCTCAGTGTGGCTCTGGCCCTTCCTGCCCACCAGCATCCCGAACTCAAGGTGGGGGGCAACCAGGAGGTCCAGCCTGCTCCCTGGGCACTGGAAATCACTTCATGGGTCTAGGAACAGCCTGCTGCCAGGGCCGTGCTGGGGATGGGTGAGAGAATCTCTCCTTCTGGGTCTTTGGGGCCCATGGGCACAGGATAGAGGGCACCTGGGTGGAGCTGGGGGGGTCAGTGGGGCTAAGGGGAGCCCTTGGGGCCATGGGTGGCTGGGTGGGAGTTAGTGGCTGGTGGCTGCTCCAAACAGCCCCTTCTGTAGGCACAAATCTCTGTCTGGGATGGTTGGAGCACGGGGAGCCCCACACAAGCCTGGGGACAGGCAGAGGCCTTGGCCCTGGGGCAGTGCATTTTGGGGTTGGGGGGGCTGGGCTAGGCCCCCCGGTGCGGGCAGAGCCTCGGGGAGCATCTGGGTGCCGGCTGAAGCTTTTGGATTGTTTTTATTTTCATATAAACAAGACAGAACCCAAAGCAGCATTAATTTAAAAAATAAAAAAGAGCAAGAAGAGTGGGTCGCAGCCAGAGGGGCACCCAGCTGCCCAGGCCATGCTCAGACCCGCCCCCGTAGTGTGAGCCCCCCGGGCTGTGTCCCTGCGCCCGCTGGGCGCTGCAGTGCGATGGGAGGGAGTGAGCGAAGATGAGTCGGTTTGGCACGCCCGGGGAGGGGGGGCAGAGCAGGGCCCGTGGCTGCCCCAACCCACACCCCCCCATGCCCCCCTCAACCTTCCTGTCCAAAGTCCTCCGTGAACTTCTTGACCTTGAGGATATCCTCGTCATTGACGGTGGGGCGAGTGGTAGCCAGCGAGCGCAGCATGTCTGACTGCAACACAGATGGGGGGCACACAAGTCAAACCAGGGGCACAGGTGGGGACCCTCCTACCACAGCAGTAGGGCAGCTCTG